TGGTAATTTTGGTGAGTTTATATCCCAAAACTTGATCACTTTTGGTGATTTTGCATCCTAAAGTTTATCACTTACCATATGTCGAGATATAGAACATAAATAAGGTTATGTTCACATTCGAAATGAGGCTAATGAGTTATAAAGCAAACCCAAGAGATTGTAAAAGTAAATGATGGTGAAAGTCTCTATGGTTTGGCATAGAATATGCATTCGTGCATGTAGTATATTAAGCCATCAGGTGGAACTAGGCTTATTGCAGGATTTGCAATCATCATTTTGATGAGAAAATTTTCCATGGAAAAATGACTGAATAGTTGGTATCCTTGAACAAGTTAATGTGAACGTGGAGTTCAAATTTTTTTAAAAGATCACTATTTGAAAGTGTGTTGCAAATCAAATAAAAATCTGATGGATGAGATTTCAAGAAAAGAATTATCAAAGATCCTCATGAATATGAATTTGAAATTTCAAAAGATAATTCGTTTAAGAGAAAAGTGGAATCTCATATTACAGCTGAAATGTTCCAATAAGAATAGATGTCTATGAATGAGCATTTATTGTCTATAGCACGTAAAAGACGTGACAGACTACTTTGGTTCCAGAGATAAAGCAAATAATTACTAATAAGAAGATTAGTTAAACTCTCGAGGAGGAGTAAAGAGATCTTTATGGTTTATAATGAAATCAGGTATTTGAATGATATCATTAAGAATGATAAAGATGATAAAAGAGATCTCGATTAACCATGTCAATACGATAAAAAGGGGACCAAAGATAAAATAAATGTCAACAGTATAAACAGAAAGCGCGCGATGTGATAAATGAAGATCTTGAATCTCCGCTGTGTGGATGAGCGTAGAGATAGTAAATATTGACCAATAAGTTGAAAAGAGGCAATCAAATCTGTATTATACTCGTTTGAAAAACGAAATTTTTTTGGATCAGAAGTCCAAACATGAAACGGTTATGTCCAGAAAAATGAATGGACAAAATGACTTGGATTGCGCCTCAATATTTATATGAATAATCCTAGAGTAATCATATCATTATTATGTTCTGGGGAATATCTACGCGATTGAAATTTCTGAAGAGTTTTCGCAAGTAGTATGATGAAAATATGTTGGAATTAAAGACTTTGGAAGGACGACATTGTCCTCGGGTACTCTAAAATCAAACATCCAGTGAAAGAGATGTTATCTGGAAATCCGAAGAGGATTTACATAAATCTCACATCTAAATACTTCTAAAGCAAATGTTATTTTGGTCTAAAAGTACCAAATTTGTAAATGTTGTGTGAGTAATTTACTAAGGCTTACCCCATGTATAAAAGATTTGGAGGTAAATGATATGGTTTCGTATAATAAGAAGGAAAGCCCTAATAGTTTTTTTAGGAGAGTATGAATAACTCGTAAGTACAACCGAGAACCGAGTGTTTAGAAGATTTTTCGTAAAAAGAAGTTTGACCCGGAAGTCCAAATAGACCAAAAGTGATTTTCTATGTGAACGGGATGGATCAGAAGTCCAATGACCCGATAGATTATATGAAGATCATACGAGTTTATTCACTAAGGCTCTGTTCAGAGAATC